AGGGTTTAAATTGGTACCCCCCTAGTTGGGGTACAGGTACGGCAGATATGTAGAACCTTCGGGCGGACTACTTAAATTAGACACTCAAAAGGTGCACGTGTGGCTATATATACTCTCGTTGTAACTGTAATATGTTATATATTTACTTAATAAAAAGTCCCAGGCCGTAGAGGTCACCTAAAAAAAAAAAAAAAAAAAAAAAAAATTCAACAATTGCAAAATTATGATTGTTAAGAATTTTAACGATTATAATTCAACAATTGCAAAATTATGATCGTTAAGAATCATAACGATCATAATTCAACAATTGCAAAATTATGATCGTTAAGATTCTTAATGATTATAATTTGGCAATTACTAAATTATGATCATTAAGAATCTTAATGATCTTAATTTAGCATTTCTAAATTATGATTATTAAGATTTTTAACAATTATAATTTTGCAATTGTTAAATTATAATCATTAAAATTCTTAAACAATTAATTTAGTAATTGTCAAATTATGATCGTTAAGATTTTTAATGATCATAATTTAGTAATTGCCAAATTATGATCATTAAGATTCTTAATGATCATAATTTTGCAATTGTTGAATTATGATTGTTAAGATTCTTAATGATCATAATTTAGCAATTGCTAAATTATGATTGTTAAGAATCTTAACGATCATAATTTGGCAATTACTAAATTAATCGTTTAAGAATTTTAACAATCATAATTCAACAATTGCAAAATTATAATCGTTAAGAATCTTAACAATTATAATTTAGCAATTGCTAAATTAAGATCATTAAGATTTTTAACGATCATAATTTAGTAATTGCCAAATTATGATCGTTAAAAATCTTAACAATCATAATTTTGCAATTGTTGAATTATAATCATTAAGATTCTTAATAATCATAATTTTGCAATTGTTGAATTATAATCATTAAAATTCTTAATGATCATAATTTTGCAATTGTTAAATTATAATCATTAAGATTCTTAAACGATTAATTTAGTAATTGCCAAATTATGATCATTAAGATTTTTAAATGATTAATTTAGTAATTGCCAAATTATGATCATTAAGATTCTTAATGATCATAATTCAACAATTGCAAAATTATGATTGTTAAAATTTTTAACAATCATAATTTAGCAATTGCTAAATTATGATTGTTAAGATTTTTAACGATCATAATTTAGCAATTGCTAAATTATAATCGTTAAGAATCTTAATGATCATAATTTTGCAATTGTTGAATTATGATCGTTAAGAATCTTAATGATCATAATTTTGCAATTGTTGAATTATGATCGTTAAGAATCTTAACAATTATAATTTTGCAATTGTTGAATTATGATCATTAAGATTCTTAATGATTATAATTTTGCAATTGTTGAATTATGATCGTTAAGATTCTTAAACGATTAATTTAGTAATTGCCAAATTATAATCATTAAGATTCTTAATGATCATAATTCAACAATTGCAAAATTATGATCGTTAAGATTCTTAATGATCATAATTTAGTAATTGCCAAATTATAATTATTAAGATTCTTAATGATTATAATTTAGCAATTGCTAAATTATAATCGTTAAGAATCTTACCAATTATAATTTAGCAATTGCTAAATTATGATCATTAAGAATCTTAACGATCATAATTTGGCAATTACTAAATTAATCGTTTAAGAATCTTAACGATTATAATTCAACAATTGCAAAATTATGATCTTAATAATCATAATTTAACAATTGCAAAATTATGATCTTAACGATCATAATTTAACAATTGCAAAATTATGATCTTAATAATCATAATTCAACAATTGCAAAATTATAATTATTAAGATTCTTAAACGATTAATTTAGTAATTGCCAAATTATGATCATTAAGATTCTTAATGATCATAATTTTGCAATTGTTGAATTATGATCATTAAGATTCTTAACAATTATAATTTAACAATTGCTAAATTATGATCATTAAGAATCTTAATGATCATAATTTGGCAATTACTAAATTAATTGTTTAAGAATCTTAACAATTATAATTTAACAATTGCAAAATTATGATTGTTAAGAATCTTAACGATCATAATTCAACAATTGCAAAATTATGATCATACAATCATAATTCAACAATTGCAAAATTATGATATTAAAATTCTTAATGATCATAATTCAACAATTGCAAAATTATGATTGTTAAGAATCTTAACGATCATAATTTAGCAATTGCTAAATTATGATTATTAATATCTTAACAATTATAATTTAGTAATTGCCAAATTATAATCATTAAGAATCTTAACAATCATAATTTTGCAATTGTTGAATTATGATCGTTAAGATTTTTAATAATCATAATTTTGCAATTGTTGAATTATGATCTTTAAGATTCTTAAACAATTAATTTAGTAATTACTAAATCATGATCATTAGGATTTTTAATGATCTTAATTTAATCATAATTTAGCAATTGGTAAATTAATTATTAAGAATCTTAATGATCATAATTTAGCAATTGCTGAATTGATCATTAAGAATCTTAACAATCATAATTTAGCAATTGCTGAATTGATTATTAAGAATCTTAACGATCATAATTTAGCAATTGCTGAATTGATCGTTAAGAATCTTAATGATTATAATTTAGCAATTGCTAAATTAATCATTAAGGATCTTAATGATCTTAATTTAGCAATTGCTAAATTAAGATTATTAAGATTCTTAACAATCAATTTATCAACCAATTGCTAAATAATGATCATTAAGAATCTTAATGATCAATTTACCAATTGCTAAATTATGATTATTAAGATTCTTAATAATCAATTTACCAATTGCTAAATTATGATTGTTAAGATTCTTAATGATCAATTCAGCAATTGCTAAATTAAAGATTATTAAGATTCTTAATGATCAATTCAGCAATTGCTAAATTATAAACATTAAAATTCTTCCTATAAAAACTTGATACATAGAAATATATGCATAAATACGAAATGTATGTGGGTAAGCACGGATTTCATAATTACTGTACGGAAACTGCACAGAAACTGATCATCCAAAAAATTTAATACACGTTATCACATGAAAAATTGAAGTCCATGTACTATCATGTATAGTATTATAATCTTAATTTCTGTGCACTAACATGTACAATCGTTAAAATTCTTAATGATCATAATTTTCATGCATAATCATTAATATTATTAATAATCGTAATTTTGTGCATGATACGTGATGATTGTTAAGACTCTTAATGATCATAATTTCTGTATATTGATACGCTCAAAAACATTTATTCCAAATAAATAAATATTTATTTGTTGTTTTTTTTTTATTTTTATATTTATTTTTTTGGCAAGTCTAGTCATGACTTGGTCCAGCTATATTATAGTTAACTCTACGCTACTAGTGTCACAGAACCTCCATAACCCCATATGGGTATCATGTGTATCTACCTGGTATCCATTGTCTGACATTTCCCCAATTCTCTCATTGGGGCCTAGGTCCGACTGCCTGTACGACACTCCGGAGAGGCCGAAACACCTTATCCTTGGACCACTATTTCACGAGCCAATCGGGTGGCGCCACGAGTTCATGTAGTACTCTCTCAGACTTTTTAGACCTCACATTACGTCTCGTGACTTCGGTTATTCCAAATCGGGGTTCTAGCACGGCTTTTCTTTACAGCCACAGCTTCTCAGAATAATTATTCTCCAAATACGTCTATCCGTAGATATTCCAGGTTCCCTGTACCCCGTGGTGTTTCACTTCCATATTTGGTTTTTTATTATTTCGCCACTAGGAGGAATCGAATCGGCAACCTTACGATTTGTAACCTGGAAGTATAACTGCTATGCTATTGACCCACAGGTAAGTCTATATCTAATTTGTAATTTTACTAATTAGGTAAATTATTAATCATTTTTGTATTAGTAATTTTACTAATTAGATAAATTATTAATCATTCTGTATTAGTAATCTTACTAATTAGATAAATTATTAATCATTTCTGTATTAGTAATTTTATGAATTAGGAATAACAAATATGAGTCATAATGACTCATATATAGGGTGTGTCAGTTCATTTGACACTTTAAAAATTATATAATAATCAATTCTACCCAATTAAATTTTTTAAGTAACTAAAATAGGAAAAAATCAACAAAATCAGTATCGCAATTCTCGTTTTTTACACACAATAGTTACAGTTTATTATTGTATTCCATGTGTAGATAAATTTGTTTGTGCTAAAAAAAGTACCAAAAAAGAAATTGAAGAACGTGAAAAGGAATATAAGAAAACAGGAGAGATTCCAATTTGTTATTTGTGTAAACAACATCATTATCGATGTAAATCAAAAAAGTGTACTCAATATTGTAAATTACATAAATGCAATGATATTTTATGTTTACATTGTAAAAAAAACAATATTGAATATAAACGTGCACTTATTAAATCTCAAGAAGAATTTAATCTATTTAAAAAAAAAGGAATTAGTTATTCATCAGGAAAATTTGAATCAACCAAACAATTAAGACTTCACGAACAAATATATTTACAATTTAAAGATCATCAGACTATTAAATTAGTTAAAGAAATATTTGGACATCGATCTATGAATTTTCAAACAAATCTTAATGGAAATTCAGATCAAAATCGTGATTATAGTATCAAAATTTGGGAACGATGTCTATCACATAAAAGTAAAGGATGTAAATGTGATTATTTTATTCATGAAAATATTTGTGATAAATGTGATGAATCATGTGCTGAATTAAGAAGATTTGCATCTTGGACTGATGAAAATGATAATCAATTACCAATAGAAATTGTTGGTCCATTTATTTTTGGAGATTATCGATTTTTAGATAAACCTTCAGAATTTTCTGAAAATGAAGATCTAATACATAAAAAATTAGAAGAATATAATCGAAAAGATAAAATTATTAAAGAGCAAATCCCTTATGAGGAAGTTATTAAAAATCCAGATTTGATGCCACGTGAATGGGTTAATAATCCTTTTGCTCATGAGAAAATTACCAAAGATAGAGAAAGATTGATGAATCACATAAAAATTATTTCTGAAAAGAAATTCTATCCAAAGAATTTTCTCTTTTTTGGTGATTCGGGTTCTGGGAAAACCACTATTGGGGAAAATTTGGCCGAATTATTAGCTAAGGAGAAAAGATATTGTACAAAAGCAGTTGATTCAAATTATATTGATGAGTATGAGAATGAAGAAGTACTAATTAAGCATGAATTGACACATGATACGTGGAAATTTGAGGATTTATTGAATCTTTGTGAAAAAGATCCCTGTCTGATCAAACAACGAAATAAAAAACCAATCAAAGTGGTTACCAAATATAATATATTCACATCACAAGATCCTTTTGATGATATTTTTAGTTTTAGAAAACGTGTATTCGATGATAGGAATATTAGAAGTCCTCAAAAAAGAATTGGTTTATATAGAAAATTTTTAAAATACGAAGATTATACGCATGATTACATGATTCAATTATTAGGTCGATACCAATCAGTAAAAGTTGACTATCATATTTTTTGGCTTGAACCTGATAAACCAGGCGATCTTTTAGATTTTATCAATGGAAGATTTAATATGAAATTTGTAGAAGGTTTAGATTTAGAAAAGGCAAAAACATATATTTATGATGATGATTTTGAGAATTTATATGAGAATGATGGTATTGTTTACTTGAAACGCGAAATTGATATGAATATTGTATTGGGTGGTGTGATTGGCGATGTTGATTTAGACAATCAAAATTTTAGTGTATACAATAGATATTGGCAATCGGAATTACCCGATTCTATAGTAATTCCGAAAAATCTAGATTCGTTAAACCAAAAATTACGTGAAAAAATCATTCAACAATTTGATTTAGAAGTGGAAATTTCTAAAAAAAGAACTACAGAAGATTCACAGATAGAATCTTCTACTAAAAAGATTCGAATAGAAATTAATTAGTTTACAAACACCAATCAAATTGTATTACTTTATTT